TAACACACGGCTTCAATTAATTTCACTATAACCTTAACCCATAAAAATAAAAAATAAAAATCAGGGTTTAAAATTCTTTCTCAACAGTTAGAGAAGACACAACAAACGTTGGATCACTTTTCCACCACAGAGAGCCCTAATCAAATACACACCCTCCCCCGACATTCCTCCCAAGGCTGACCTGTTCCCACCCACCACTCACCGTTGCCCCGAACATCAACAAAGCCTTTAATAAAAGTGTCAGTGTCAGTGATGATGATGCCCGTGACAGTTTAAACAATGTTCTCGGACTAAACACAGGACATGGCACCGACCCAGCACCATCGCACCTCCTGATGTCAGGACAGGTTCTGGAATGTGCCACATCCAAACACATAGGTTTACCTTGCATCAGTGCGGTACTTCTCAAATAGTGGGGCTGGCCCCCCTTGGGGGAGGGCGGGGGGGTGCGGTGAGGTGTCAGGGAGGGCGTGAGGGGCTTCCAATGGAATATGGCACCCTGATGTACCACTGTAGTAATGCTTGAATGACAACAAGCTTCCAGTCACTAGGTGGCAGCAACGCATTCAGTGGTTTGTACAGGTTAAAATATACATGTGAAATTATATATTTTAAATATATAAGTCACACCTGAGTGACCCAGCCAAAGGTTGAAAAAAGGTGCGACTTATAGTCCAGAAAATACGGTAATCAAATACCTTAAATACCCTTGACGGTTTTCAGTCTTCTGTACAATAACTTAGTGTTTCTCAAACTTTTTTTTTGGGGACCCATATTTTAAAAGTCACAAACCTTCACGACCAAAGTCAATAGACATTATTCATAAACTCCTGGGAAACAAGATGAGAGACAACCCAAAAAAACCCTCTTGTGACAAAACAAGATGAGAGACAACCCAAAAAAAACCCAGCTGAGGGTCGCAACCCAGTCTTTGGGAAACAATGCATTAACTGAAACATCAGTACAGACTACGGCCAGGAAAAAATAAATCACTTGGACTGTAAACTGGTGAGGTATTTAGAGAGCCAGCCTCTGAGTGGTGTTTGTGAAACCTGACTGATTCTTATGGAGTGACTGTTTATATTACGTGGTGAAACCATGTTTAACTAACATTCGCCTCTAGAGCCATGTAGGTACATACTGTAACACGACTCTATCTTTCTCCTGGTGCTTTATTTTTGTACAATTGAACCATGTTCCAGGCGACTGGTTTGTGATAACAGTCCTGGCCACAATGAGCAGGTGAAATAATGTTTTCTTTTGTGTTATCTCTCCTGATACAGTAATCTTAAAAGCACATAATTCGGTGCATGACCTCACAGGGGGAACGAGGATAAAAGGATAGAACCATGGATGAAAAAGTGAAATGTTTCAAACTTTGGTCATGGTGAGGAAGCTGCTGGAGGTTCTCCAAAGTTCAACACCACCATACAGCTGCATTAGGTTAGATAGCCAGGAGAGCTGGTGATTGTGGGATTAGAAAGTTTAGAATTAAAGTATTTAATTCTTTCATTTTTAATTACGTTTTTTATGAAGGTTTAGTATTTAGCCTGCTATCATTAAAGTGATGCGTTAGTGTTACTGATGGGCAGAGTCTAAGACAGGGGTGTCAGACTAATTTTGGTTCAGTGGCCACATACAGCCTGATCAGATGCCAAGTGACCAGTACAGTCATAGCATAATTACCTATAAATAACAATAAAGCCATGTTTTCCCCCTTTGATTTCCTGCAAATAAGTACATTAGATAAATATTAATTTTTAATAAAATATAATTTGACAAAACACTACCAAATTAAGTGTTTCAAAATTCATCAAGTAGACCGGATTAAACCTCCTAGCGGACTGATTTTGGCCCACGCACCATATGTTTTACACCCCGATCTCAGGTATACTACACTTGGATTGCCCCCCGACTGAATTATACAATGAACCAGAATGTGATAGGTGTCACTACTGAAGGTCAAGATAAGATTGGACACAGTTTACTCCGTGTGGACAGACTTGTTGATGCGGTTGACGCTCCAAAGTGTTTCTTCCAGGATGTTTATTCGCGGCATTGCAGGCTCAACAGTGACGCACGTCTCATGTTCAGAGTTCCCCTGTTGGTGAGCGTGTACCCGAATGTTCTGCCAGAAAACAGGTCCTCATGGGTCCAGAGTTTACTGGAACATCAGCAGCTTTGCTATCGTGTTTCCCACTTCTTAGTGACATTTCATGGTCAGAGTACTCAATACCAGGAACCCCCCCTGCCCCTCCCTTCCTAAAGCCAGGCAGGCTGACTGTGGTCTCACTCCCTGGCTGGATGTTCAGCTGCTTCCATCTCGATGCCTGCCTGGTGCCTCCTCTAGAGTTTTCTAATCAGGCACAGATACAAAGTGTTCTGTCCTTTTGTGTACACAGCCATCAGTAATCCTGCTGGGTGACATCAGTTACATGTCCCATCCCAGCAGTTTCAAGTAAGATGTCAAAGGTTTTCGATGATGTATTCTAGTCCATACAGTACATGTGACTACAGTATAGGTCATTAGAAGGACATTTGTGAGTTTTCTGTAGAATGACAGTTAGAGGAGCAGCATCGATATTGATATTAAATGTAAATGTGTTTTATAAACACTGAACAACCAGTTACAACAATCTGTTGAAATTTCCGATCTTGATCTTAAATAGACCTCATACTCTAAACATTTGACTTTAATGTTGCCTCACTCATGAATGATAGCTGCTTTCATGAACAAAATGCTACTATTTCACTGTATACAATACAGTGAAATACTGTCTGTTTTACCTCACTTCCATCTTGTTGATTCTGACTTTGTAGCCATTACTTTATAAACTGTATCCATAGAACAAGCAGAGAACCTCAGTCTGCCTTTTGAGTCGGATCTGTGGTCTGGATGTTTTTAGTATTTGTCAAGAATTGATAATTCTCTGGTGTGAATCATTTTTGTATTTTTTTTTTGCATTAATTTATCATTCAAGGTTCACCTCTGCAGTTCAGGGTTTTTTTTAAAGCCAGTTCATAATTTGTGTTAGAAACCAAGAGTCTGGTTTCACCGATGTTGGACAGTTCCAGTCCTGAGTCAGGATAAATACGTCTTGAAGACTGTGCTTTGTATAAACTTATCACTTTGTGAAAAATATCAACTCTGGCAGCCATTAAAGAAGGGAAAAGCCAAAAAAGTTTTTTTTAGAAATACACCAACTTTTTTCCTCTCCTGCTGTATTGTTGTGTTTATTTTGTGAAGTTTGGCCAGATACTGTTGTTTTTCTTCTAAATGCATCAGACAGATCATTGGTAACAGTAATCAAGTTCTCTGTCAAATGCAGCGTAGAATTTGTCCTTGTATATTTAGTTACACTGTAACAGCCAAGTACGAAACACAACCAGCTGTTCATTTGTTATTGGTTACCAAGCTAAGGATACAAATGTCTGCCTGGGGGGGCAGAGGGGAAGGTCTCTTAGTCTCATTAAAGGTTTGTAGGAGCAGCACAGTCCCACTGAGACGTGACCTTGAGAAAATGTGCCCAGCTATCAGTGGTGCACTGCTGACCGGAGAAGTGTTGCTCTGTGCTTCAGGGCTGGACTATCAACACGTAGCGCTTCATCTTTCTGTCTGACAAGGCCACATGGAAAGTGACAACTTGACCCCCAGCTTATGTAGGTCAGCGGCGCTGTGTGGCTAAGAGGTCGAGATACAAGTATCTACAGAGGACGCAGATTAGCTTTTTCCACACAGCTCATTGTGTTTGGAGAAAGGAGAGCGAGGCTCTGCTGAGGATCTGCTCCAGTCACTTAGCAGGAAATAGTTGGGGTCACGTGGACTCTTAAGCTCAGCTGCTGATGATGTTTGACGTTTTAACCTGATCTCAGTTTTTTTAGTCATTTTAGCAGTTGTGCTGCGAGACCGTCGGGCCGGTTTTGGCCTCTTTCCTCCATCACTGAGTGTTTCAGTGACAGGAAGTCCTGATTTAAAACAAATCACTTCCCAGTTCTTATCAGAGGGAGAACAGAACAGAATGTTCTGGTGCCTCTACCACCTACAGCATTTCCATCCCGTGTGTGACACTAAAATGATTTGAGTCTTGCTGCACTAATTAGTCAGTTTGTTTTGTTTTGTCTAAAAGCACACATGTTGGAGAACGGTCCAAAACCTGAAGAGAGTGAAACGTTCCTGCAGTGACTTAATAACCACAAAACATCTGGATTTTTTTTTTTTTTTTTCAATGCAACAAAGCATGAGTGTACCATCGCTGTTTCATTATTAGGCACACAAACCCCAGATTCCAATAAAGTGTAGTTTTACCCTCTCTGTAGAAAGTTACTACTGAAATATTTATACCACTTGGATTTTAGCTGGGACTTTTTTTTTAACTTAAAGAGTTGAATGCCATATTTTAGGTTGGGGTTGAATGAGGTACTGACTAATGGTCTGCTGCTGCTTAGCTGGGAATTTAACTACAAGACTGAGGTTCCCTGTTTTTGGTGGGAGGAAGCCAGATTACCTGAAAAGAAAAGAAAAACACACGAGAAAATCATGCTAAGACCATCAGTTACTATGGGGCTGGAACTGTTATACTTTGTGATGTAAGGGAGGGGCACTAACCACCCACCCACCTGGGCATTTCTTGGGCATAACATTCATGTGATGTGTGTCCAAATCAACGACACAGTCTCCATGTTGTCAATTATGGAGGAAACGAGTTGTTTTCTTCATCACTCATACATTGGACACGGGTCTTTACGTTACTCTTAGTCGCCATGTTTTCATTACAGCAGGTCTTCCTCTCTGAGGCTTGTTGTCCAGGAGCCTTAGAGTGACGTCAGTGCAGAGAACATGTCAGAACCTCATATAACCACAACCATTTAACTGTCCATTAAAACTGTGTTTAACATGGAAACATCCCCCTGCAGACACCAGTGAAGGTCAGAAATGACATCATGCTAGGTATAAAAGTTCCTTTAAAAGAAAAAAAATTATGATCCCATGTGTTTTTCAGAGCATCGAGCGAGAGGAGCCAATAGAGGTGGACCCCGCCCCGCCACATGTTGGCCTGGAGAATGGACATGCTCCTACAACAGGTGAGGACATGGTTACTACTGTGGCACTGCAAGTGCTATCAGTACTACAAACAAAGCTTGGTGACTACAACACAACCCAAGTGTGAGTTTAGAAAGAATATTTTTTATTTTCTATAAAACAAAACATTAAATCAAGTTAACTGAAACTGAAGATGACGGAAGCTAGCCAAAAAGTTTAATTGTAGAACAGGCTTTAAGGCTACAGCTAACAGCTATACTCACCTACCATAAAAGTGAAAGGAAACTGGCATTTATAAAAAAAAGAAATCCTGATTTTGCAGATATAATAATAATAATGAATTGATGATTTCAAAATAAAAACAGCTATACTCACCTACCATAAAAGTTAAAGGAAACTGGCATTTATATAAAAAAAATCCTGATTTTGCAGATATAATAACAATAATAATGATTTGATGATTTCAAAATAAGGAATAAAAAACTCACCTTCAACTGAGAGACAGAGATTTGACTTAGCATTTTTTTAACCGTGTTAGCATATCTAGCTTACCTGTAGCGGAGAGGTGAAGGAAGTGACTGTGTTAGTAACTATGACACACTCTTCAGTTTACAGCTTATGTTATATAAGCTGCACTATAACATGACTCATCCTGACCTAAGTGTTGTTGTAGTCAATACATTTATTTTACACTTTTACACTGCCATATTGCTATTGTAACATAGTAAATTAAATTGTTCACAGTTTTTTATTCCACATTTACATGATCTGCCATTGGCTGTTAATAATAACCATATTTTATGTCTTTGTGCCAACTAGAACAACCGATGTTGGTCCATGGGGAGCTCTCTCCACCCACTGACTTCCCACATGAACACACGGCTCCTGTAGCCATGAGGATGCCTCACCTCCCCATCACTGCCACCACAAAGACAGCAGAGCTCAAAGGCTCTCCCAACTCTCCCAGCAGCCCGGTGGGTTCCAGGTCCTCCCCCGTCTCTGAGCCCTTGTCCCCTGGTCATATGACTAACGCCATAAACCAATCAAATGAAGAGTCTCAGGTTCAGTCAGGTAGCTCACCATCATGAATATAAACACAGTAGACTTAAGTTCATACAAACTGTAGACGACTTCACTTACAGTTCGCCTCATTGTTTTTGCTCTTAGTATCTTCTATGAAGACATGGACTCCCTCACCCATCAGAACTCTTGGATCTCCCCGTCTTCATGGTGAGCCTTGTTTTCAAGTATATTCTGTTTGATTTCTGTTGAAAATGTTAAATTTATATCTCATGCTGAAATGTTTCTCTCTTCTCTGCAGAGAAAATAAATTCAGCTCCCGCCAAGTCGGTGACCTACACTGGTTTGCAGTCACTTGAAAGGTAAAGTGAAGGGGAAAAGGAAACAGGAACGTTGTATTCTGTTTGTAACTGTTCGTCTGATCCCTGCCTGTGACCATCCTGCAGAGATGGTGATGTGAACAGTGACAAGTCCTACGGACCAACAGGAGAAAAGAGGAGGGAACTCGTGAGGTCACAGACGCTGCCTCGCAACATTGGTGCACAGAGTCGTCGATCCATCTTTGAAAGACTGGAGTCAGAAACGAATAACAAGTGAGTGCTGTTCATTAATGAATGAATTGAGGAGAATGAAATGAAGGATTAAAAAAACAACAACACTGATCTGTTTTTGTTTCTTTTTGTCTCCTACTCCCTATGTGCAGCCGACCCAAACCAGTGGAGTCCAAACCCAAACTCAAACGCTCTCAGAGTTTTGGAGTGTCCAGCGCCAGCAGCATCAAACAGATTCTTCTTGAGTGGTGTCGTTCCAAGACCATAGGATATCAGGTCAGATTCTAAAAAAAAAATGTGCAAAGTTTGGACCTGACCACAAAAAGTACAAATTTGAAAGTGATTTATGAACAAATGCTAAAAGAGACACTTAAACTGTATGGGTTAGTTTTTTAAAAATGACAAAAACAAGCTAGTCCAACAATAACTGAACAATAGCAAGGAAACCCAACTCCAAAATAGGGGTAATAATAGACAGGTTTTTTTTATCACCAAAGTAGAAACTGCTGCTGTGAGACGGAAAAGACAAAAACATCTTTTTTTAAAAGTGATGATAAATGTATTTATTTGTTTCTTTGAGCACAGACACAGTGTCTGCCCCCCCCCTTCCGCCCCCCCGCTGCCACTGTATATCATCTGTTACTGGAAGCATTATCTCCTCCTGGGTTCATACTGTACGTGCCGCAGGGAATCAATTTTCCCTGTCGATATAAAAGAAACTGAGGAGGCATATCTTACATAACTGAGGTTTTTTTTTGTTTTCTCAGCATTTCATAATTAATGTTTGAAAGTAAAAGTAAATGGAAAAAGTCGTGGATATATTTTTTGGGGCAAGCAATTCAAGTTCAAGACAAACAGTACATTCTTTTATTTAAATATTAAATTTAAATTCATATTTAAATGTCTTCTTTACTCTAGTTATATAAACTATATTAAAGCATATATTATCCAAAGCAGAGAAATCAGTACAGATTTACAGGAGTTACAGGAGGTGGGTGGTCACACTGGGATGATTTTTTTTTAAACCCAGTAAAAACAGAAAACACTCAATGCAGAGTAATAATTCTTTGTGAAACCACACTATAAAACAAGTGTTAAAACAAAGTGTGGTATAAATCATGTGTAAAGCTAAAAAAAAAGAAGAAAAAACTATAAAAAGTATAGATGTTAAAAATTAGCACTTCTAACATGAAACAGAGCCATGAAGGAGACTGAGACTGTTTTATAGAAGTAATAAATCTCACTGTCGAACATTTCTTTTTGTTTCTGAGCCTACATTTAAAATACTGTGTTTGTCACATAAACATTTCAAACTGGTGATGTTTGATTGAACTGTGTTTACACATTAAATTCTGGTATACTGTATTTAGCTGGACAGCGATACCTTCATTATGGCTCCATGACTAGATTTATAGTTGTACCAGTGAAGTCACATGATGTAACTGAACCTCGAATGCATTCATAGCAACACCCGCAGGGGAGAGTGGGGAGTAATGAGATCTCAGTATCAAACACTGACCACTAAGTCAAATACCAGTAGAGTTTTTTTTCTTTCTCCATTCTAATAGACAGACGTTCCACATTTTCAAATGTGAGAGAATTTAGACATGACCCTTTACTTGACCTGATGTCACAAAACAATTTATGACAGAGGTTCTCAAGCTCTCGGCTTCACTTTGGTATTTTGGTGCTAACATCGATTTTTGTGATCCAGCTTAGTAGACAGTTTGTTCTAATAATTCTGTGTGTATCTGACTTCAAACCGAACTCTGAGATGGTGTTAAATCAAACAGAAGCTGTGGCTCAGTCGAAGCAAAGAGGATTTTGCCTGAGAAACAGGGGAGGAAAAATAGATTAATAGGATTTTCCAATTCCCAAAAAAACCACCATTGGGTCACAACCCAGCATTTAAGAAACACTGGTTTATGACCTTTGGTGAAGGTGAAGTCAGTTTAGTGAAAATGGCACCACAGTTTCTTTGAGTACTGCTGGGACGTCAGGTTTGTATAGATGTAGCAACAATATAGTTTAAGTCAGGCTCACGTACACTGACATATTACCGAGTTCTGATACTGTTTCCACATGGTCGGTGCCAGCTGCTCCATGTGGCTATAATTATGACCAGAGTCAGGCAGAACTCTGAGGGCAATAAACATACATGCACTCACACAAACGAGAGAGAGAGAGAGAGATGTTCACCCACTGACCTCAACAAGATGCATTTCATTCAAAGCAAACTGCAGACTAATGAGGGGCAGCCTTGAAATGACATGAGGTAAAAAGCTAAAAATGTTGAAAACCAATGGCTGGAGAGGAGAGTCTGTTTTATTCATCATTATTACAAGCGGGACATTAAATATCTTTATGAAGCTTCAGTGGGCTGGCTGTGGCTTTTACAAGTCGTGTTTCAACGATCTCTCATTTCTTTCCCTGACTCTCAGCTGTTTTCCTTCGACCAACCAGGATTCTGAGATGTCAGTCACAGAATTGCTCATGCCACATCATCACCGAACAATGCTCTTTTCTCTCAACTCTGCAGAACATTGAAATCCAGAACTTCTCCTCCAGCTGGAGTGACGGGATGGCCTTCTGTGCCCTGGTCCACTCCTTCTTCCCCACGGAGTTTGACTACACCTCTCTGTCACCAGTCAACCGTAAAGACAACTTTGAGCTTGCCTTCAGGACAGCAGAGTGAGTCCAAGAAATTTAAAAACAATCCCATGCAAATTTTATTTAAATAGTATGTATAAGCAAAGGAGACGCAGTACGAGAGTACAAGATCTGGACATCCATAGTCCACAATGTAGCACCACAAAAAAGACAACACGTTGTATTTAACCTATGGAAAATTGTGCGTCCTCTTACTTATAATTTAATTTAATTTTTTGTGGTTGAGAGATCTTTAAGTCTTTGTTCACCTTTAACTAGGTGGCAGCAGATGTTTATGAAAACCAAAAAAAAAAAAGAGACTCAGCTGTTGAAAAATATCTTCACCTGCCTTTCTTCAATTCCTGGGAGTATATTAGCATTGTGTTCATCTAAACAGGCCCAATTTTCAGATTTTCACACCAAGTAGGTAAATTGAGTAAAAATGAAACTCAAATATGTTTAGGAAACACTGAGCTCAGTAGATACGAGACACCAAACCCCACGCCCCAGCACAGAGCACACAGAATCACATTTCTGTCTGTGAATGAATTAAACACAAACCAAATTGCATGACGTTCATTAGTGAGCTCTGTGGCAGATGTTAGAATTATTTCTAAAAACCACCACCTCATGGCTCCCGCTGGAGGCAGTGGATTTATGGCAACAAATAGTCTCACACATAACCCCTGTTGTTCTTCTAACTTGGTTTTTGTACAGATTAAATAAATGACATAGGTTGTATTAAAAATTGACCTTTAGCGGCTCTGTTGGCTGCATGTTTTTTTGTGTGTGTGTTTTGTGGGCAGGCGTGGGTTGGCTGATTTCCTCCAAGTTAGTTCACCATTTTATAGTAGTGTCTGGTTTTACATTTAACTCACAGCAAGTGGGTAATAAAATTTTATTCCAAAAATAGTTCACTGTTTACGAACATTAAGAGCCTCCTTTGCCGTTTGAAGGGTTAGTTGTGGTTCTTGACATTTGCTGAATTAGGCCTAAAGGGATTTATGGACCTGAACTGCATCAGTAATGAAGGTCTGGACTTTGTTGTGGTCAACGGCTGCTTGATTTGTTTTCCTTGGTCTGTTTTTTTTTTTACACTCGTCAGTGAAGCCACTGTTTATCATCACCCATGTGCTTCATACGGCGGGGTGTAACCGTTCCTGACTGCTTCACCACACGGTGCTCCTTAAGGTGTTTCTAATATGCATTCCTTATAACTGAGTGCATAGCTTCACGTAGCCATGTGCTATAGATCAACCTCTTTGGTACCGAGGTCCGATCAGCCGTTACTGCGGACTGGCAATACCACGTCATCGTTGAAGGATCATTAAATGTTCAAAATAAAACACCTTTCCAATCATTAAATTTTCAAAATAAAACAACTTTCCGCCTTTATTGTGTTAGTTTGTTCACCCAGGTCATTCTGTGCCACCCCTGGTACTGTTAGTCATTCAACACATATTAATCACCAGCTATTATGATGACCGGCTTTAAAGGTGAAGCTGCTAGGCTAGCCTGCTAACTGCAAAACAACAACACCGTTTGCTTTTGTTGATGGAAAAACGAGCAAAGGGGAAAAAAAACATACAAAAAGTTTTTGGAACTGTTTTTGGTGAATGCCTGTCATCACGTCTTAAATTCTTGGATTGGAAATTTTGACCAAAATCATTTATGTTAAGCTGTTGCTGCGGTATAAAACCTTTTAAATTCTTGGATTGGAAATTTTGACCCAAATCATTTATGTTAAGCTTTTGCTGCGGTATAAAACCTTCTTCTGACTCGTGTTTCTCTGTCTGTTTCTGCAGAGTGAAGGCTGGCTGTGACCGGCTGATCGAGGTGGACGACATGATGATCATGGGTCGTAAACCAGATCCTATGTGTGTTTTCACCTACGTCCAGTCCCTCTACAACCACCTGCGCAAGTTTGAGTGAAGCTTTGACACCTTCCTTCTTCTTTTAATAATCAACGTTTCCAGCTGAACTCAGCTGTGGACTGTAATAAAGTCCGTTTTGGAAAAGACTATGCTGCCCCCTGGTGGTGAATTGGTGAACGTATTTGGCACTATTGCAAAGATGGGTTAAAAAATGAGACTAACGCACCGGGTGTAATACAAGTTATTGTATTTGTGTGCATGCGCGCGTGTGTGTGAATTCGTTCACGATGATTAGTCGACATTTTTGATTTTCACTGTTTCACGTTTTTCGTCCCTATTACTGCACAATATTATCTTTTCTCACTGCACATATGGAATGGATTCTTTTTGACACTTCTTTGACTTCTCTCACCATAAGGACAAAACACACGGGTGGAAAATATTCGTGAAAGAACAGTTTGTTTATATGATTAAGGTAATACGTTTTGAGTGATAATTACATCTGTAAACTGAAACTGTCTCAGTGGAGTAGAAGTTAGAGGAACTTTACCCATAAACCGTGCCGTTTGACATACTTGAAATGGTCAAAACATTGAAAGTCACATTCACATGGTACATAATAAAGAATAACGTAGAAAGATCACAAAACAAATCTGCTTGTGCCGTATTTTAAACACCCTTTTAAATACAGATTATTGGTCCAGTAATTATTCAAACGTTTTGATCAAGAAGGTTGCCTTCGAGAATTAAAAAAAAATTAAATAATTGTTAACAGTACAAAAAAAAAAAAAAAAAAAATTGTTAACAGTACTCGGACTCTTAAAGTATACTTTAATGGCTGATATAGAACAAACTTCATAAAAAACAATGTAAATGTAACTAAACGTAGTAACCCGGACTTAAATCGCACAGAAAATCTGTGACATGAACTAAAATCCACTGCAGTCTGTTATTCATTTTGGTCAGGAGTAAACATTTTTTTTCCTAAGCTGTACTTATATATATTGTTCTGTAACTTTATGTGATTATGCACATAATCGAATAAACGTTGGGATTATTCTCTCTAGCAGCGTGGCTGCAGAGCTGTACCGAGAATCATGGAAGGTTCTCTCAGCCATCACCAGGCAACAACAACAACAACAACAAAGCACTCCTCTTATTCCCTGTATGTATGTATGTGTATATATATATATGTGTGTGTGTGTGTGTGTGTCGTATTTTCAGTCGTCGTCATAAAGGCTGCGCATGAGCCTTTATGACGATGACTGAAAATTCACCAAAGCAGGCGTGAAAACACCTGGATTAACAGAGTGGGTGGGTGAACGTGGGGGTGGTTCATCTCAGCTCCTGTCTGTCGACTATAAGAGCTGAGGTGAAAACTCCTCATTTGTTGTTTTATCTATTTACTGACCTCAGCTGGCGACCTGTGTGTACTTGAAGTTATGGCGTTGTTCAACGGCTCAGACTTTTCTAGATTTAAGCAGGAGCAACAAAAAGAACTGATGAAATTTAAAGATTTACACTTAGTGTTTGAAGAACAGGATCACCGCAAAGGTATGTTGTTGTTGTTGTTGTTATTATTGTTATTAGCAGTTTTAATATTGTCATTTTAATCATGATTAACTTATCATAACACGTTATTATATCATTTTATATATCATAACCTTTGATATTATTAATGATGTTAAATATTTTATCTGATCGTGTCATGAATACAAATCTTTTTCCCCAAATAATATCATAAATATCACTTGAATATTTTAAAAAACTTTAATTAAAAAAAGGGAATTAGTTGATGCGAAGAAGAAAAAAATATAAATTGAGGCCAAGAAAGTTTAGTTTCAGCATTGTAGGTGAAGAAAAATAATAACAATGAAAAACATTTTGGTTTTACTATTATAAATACTGTATATACTGTTATAAATATTTATATTTATAAATAATTTCAAAATGTCAATTACGTTTTAAAATTTTAGAATGATTTTGTTCAAAACAAAAATAATGTTTGAAGCAGGTTTTAATATTTGCCCACATTAATTAAATATAACATTATGTTTAACTTATGTTCAATAAAAAATGAAATGCATCTTAAGATGTGATGTGAAAAAAAAAATGCATCTTAAGATGTGATGTGAAAACATTTTTAAAAATGATAAAGAAAAGTTTGTCAATGAAGCTAAAATTGTAGGAGAGCAGTTTTATAAACACAAACATGTCATGCAAATAAATGTAATATCATCTAAAAATAACAGTACATCAACATGTAATGTAATGGTATGATGGGAGTGTTGTGATGCCTTCAGGTGGTGTTTTAGTAACAGTGAAGTCTCCTCTCCAGAGCCGACACACCGAGGCCCAGAGACCCAGAGGAAGAGGAAGAGAACCATCTTCAGCCGAGCACAGCTGTCACAGCTGGAGCAGGTCTTTGCGATGACTCCTTATCCAGATATCACTCTGAGGGAGAGGCTGGCAGCGCACACACACCTGCCGGAGAACAAGATCCAGGTCAATAAAAAAACTCATTTCAATCATTTCATGAAAATAGTTGACAAAAGTTTCAACCAGGAAAAATGTAAATGTGCACAAAAATAAAGTGACAAACATAAAAGGGAAGTTCATTATTCGAACAGTATTGTATATATAAAAATGTAAAGCAAATTAAAATGGACTGCAGTGCTTATTTACAATTCTGCGTAGACAGAGAAGTAATTAAAATGGACTGCAGTGCTTATTTAAAGCCACAATTCTGCGTAGACAGAGAAGCGTTGTGTTTCATTAAACAACCTTGACATTGAAAATAACTTTTACAGGTTTGGTTCCAAAACAGAAGGGCCAGAAGTATGAAAGGAGAAAGGCTCTGCAGTTCCATTAAGTCTGAGCTTGTAAATAAAGGGACGACAGATTCGTGCCGTGGATCCGTGACTCCCTCTCTCCCCATACCATCGACCACACTGCAAGATATTTACAGACACGACCAGAACCAGCGTTCTGATGATGTGGGACACATTTATTCAGACTGGTACCCGTTTCACAGCCACCCAGTTCTGACTCCCTCGAGCCCATCACCTCTTTATCAACAACCCACAGTTGGCTCATCCAGTTCAGAACCCTATCCCTGGGAGGAGGAGGAGGAGGACCAGCCTCAGCCTCAGCCTCAGCCTCAGCCTCAGCAGCACCTGGGAGCAGCAGTGCACCAGTCCTTCTCATCCCGACCGTATCAAACTTTGAGGAGCTGCACGTTTCAGAGTTTGGTTCCGTCAGGAGCTCATCAGCCTGGGTATGGTGTGAGATGTGGAGGTGGAGGTCATGGCTCCGTGGACCAGGTGGGCCCTACACATCCAAAGCAGATGTACTGGGAAGTCCCTCAGGGGGGGCAAGGACACCATCACCACCACTACCACCACCATCTCCGCCATCATAACCATCATACACAGATGGCACCACAGACCTCCATGGGATATATTTCAGATCTCATCTACAATGCTGCCATAGTCACCAACTTCCTAGAAAGCTGATGTTTGATACGGCCTGGGCCACATAGTGGAGAGTGGTTAATGCCCTTACCTTACACCAGGTTTGATCCCCAGTGTTTTTTTTTCTTCTTCTCCTGGTTCTTCTGTTTCTCTCCTGACCAGTAGTTTTTTACTCTGAGTGTAACCGGTTCCTCATCTCTATGGCTCTGTTTACACGGCGATGATACGACTGCTGTAGCCTCCAGATACGGAGCGTTTACATGGATCTGGTGCAAACAAAATGAGCGTCTAAACAGAGCCACAGAATACGACTCCGTGTCACAGACTCGGAAACTGTCCACGTTGTACCCTGTCCTCACATATCCACAGCTGGGGTAAGCTCCAGCTCCCCCGTGACCCTAAATAGGTTTTAGTGAAAATAAGTTTGTTTTTGATATGGTTTAAAATGTCACCTTTGACAATGATGATAATAATAATTGTCAAATGTTGTGAATTTCGACTCTTTCTGTTTTCTTCCTGCTTTGTAGTTGTAATGTTGGTTATTACTGTATGTTTTTTGAAACAGGCCGTGACAGGCGAAACACCACAAAGGTTGTTTCTTGCAATACCTTATAGGCATATATATGTTTTACAAATCTTACTGAATTTCTTTTACTTTTTTTCCTGTTTTTTTCTTCTTAGGTTAGAAAATGATTATTTTATCACGGAAAAATTTTATCAAAGTGAAAAATACGCAATACAAGAATAGATTTAAAATATTAAAAAGCACTGAGGGCGCGACAGCCAACCCGCGATATAGCGAGGGACGACTCTATACATTATATATTGTTTGGTGTTCGCCTTTTTCGTAAATTCACCCAGTGTTTCCAAAGTTCTTCATTCAAGCACTGGTTATTTCATAATCTTGTTTTAAAGCTGTTCAGTATAATTCTACAGTATAGGCAGGGTTAGATGACCAGACTGAATCTACCGCTGTAAATGAATCATTTAGGGCTAAAAAGTAACTGAAACATATGAACTAATTATTATTTCTTTCATAAACAAGTGAAATGTCTGAATGACATGCAGTAAGATGTCGATTGTTTTTGGCAGGTCGTTCTACTTCACTTTGCCTGCTGTGTTTGTGGCTCCTGTTTTTCCTGTTCTAAGCTGAACTGTGTCATGTAACACTCTGACCCCACGAGTATTATCTTTCAAAACATCCTGATTAAAATGATTCCTCGTGCCTCAGATACCATGACAGGAATTATTATCTTCTGTGTCAAATTATAGCGTATATATATTTTCTCATATCTCTTTGGCCTGTATCGGCGAGGTCAGATGGACGGAGGGAAGACAGAAAAATGAAAAATACTAAATTAAAGACAGAGCTCAGGGTCTATCTGCTTACAGGCTCAGTAATTCTGCCGGGATTTAAGTTTTGAAATATTACATGAGAAGTATAATACACGGACAAATATGACAGACAGCAGT